TGGCATTCGTCTCCTGAAAGACAATAAAAAAAAACATTTAATAAATCTGGAATGCAAGATTTAATAGTGCAAGATCCTGAACTATGATACACACTTAGTGCATAAAATACTTTAGTACAAACATATTAATGGTCTATCACTCATACTGCGCTGTGATTGGCTACTCTACTAATGGTCTAATTTGTGATAGACCACTCGCAGAAAATCAAAATAAATAAATTATAAACTATTTTAAGGATATTTCGATTTATTTTCATTATTTGACGGATTAGTATGTTTATACTAAAACAATGAGACCTCTCGGCCTCGTGGACTACAAGCTAATAGCCCATTCGGCCTCGCAGACTCAGCCTCATGGGCTATTAGCTCGTAGTCCACTCGACCTCAAGGTCTAATTGTTAAGTAGAGAAAGGTTGAAACATAGCTAGCAAAGCCTTACCTTGGTGCAGCTTTGACTATATTGTCCACCCTAAGGATAACCTCCGCCCCTTCAGCAGCAGACAGAAGCACRTGTTTCTTGACCTTAAAGGACTCTGTAATACCTAGTTCAGCCATATCTCCTACAGTTCCATTGCTCATGTCTGAAAGGAACACACAATATTATTTTGATGTCTACATTCCTTTACACAGACAGACCTCATTTTAGGAGGATAAGAAACATCAAACTTACCTAATCCATAAGTAGATTTCCCTTCTGTATGAGCTGCACGTAGTTGAGCAACAAGATCAGCACTGTCATAACCAGCATTGTCAGCAATAATTGTTGGCAGCTGAAAAAGAACAGTCAAAACTCTTGCTGTTTGTACTCAAAAAAGATCTCCATAATTACATAGGTTTCAATCAATAGCCCAAGTTCAATAGTCTGGTCAAATATTTATGCCAAAAAAGAACTAGTTGAGACTCAGGAAAACAAAAAGTATGAAATTTCTTCCCTCTAAGCCTTGCCTTCAATCCTTGTTTGTACAGTAAGTCAAACAAAATATCCAAAGTGGACTTAGTTCTGTGTAACAAAAGTCATAAAGCTGTCCAGTATACTTACCATACGTAAAGCTCCAGCAAAGGAATTCATMGCAGTAGATTCTTTACCAGGCGTTCTTTCTGCAAGCTGGGAAACTGCACGTGCCATTAACATTTCTGATGCACCTATAAACATCAAAGAAATGAAAAACAAGTGAAGGAAAAGGATTGGGGAATTTTCTGTATGCCAGTCTTCTCAGGAGAAAATATAATGTCAGATGTGTGGGCAGATATGATGTCTGGTGAAGCTTTTAAGTTCAAAGTTGTCCCTGAGCTCTAACACTGACAGAGTATTGGAAAGTGACATTTCTTCTCAAAGTCAAAATCTGTATTTCTTTGTTTTGTTTATTTACCTCCACCATAAACAGTTCTTGGTTCTTTGACAGTCTGTGTAAGTACGCACAAAGCATCATGGAGAGAGCGTTCTGCTTCATCAAGGATCTGTTTTGTTGCACCTCGGATTATAATAGTACAGGCTTCATTCAAAGCACATCCAGAGAAATGGATAAGCTAAAAACATACAGAAATATTGAGTTACGTTCAGAAAAATTAGAGAAATGGATAAGCTAAAAACATACAGAAATATTGAGTTAGGTTCAGAAAAATTAGAAAAAAGAAAATGGGAAGTTAGGATGGATGAGAATAGAAGAAACTAGTGTATTGGTGGGAGGTTTGACTAAAGCTAAGGCAGAAAGGAAGTGAAAGAGGATGCAAGGAAGTACGTGAAAAGAAAAATAAATGAAAGTGAGAAAAAATAAAGAAGATCYAAAGGTGACATAAACACAAACCTTATCTTCTCCAATCATAACTTCATTAATCAATTTACAAGTACCAATTTTAACAAGTTCTGGACGTCCAAATGTAGATACAATTTCACCTCCTACAGGACAAAATAAAGTAGCAACAGTGACATTTATATTCAATAAATATATCATATACAAATCATTGCCTTTGCATGCCAGGGGTACAATGATGTAGTTACCTGTTACAAGAGCCAGTCTTTCAACACCTTCAAAATCAGCATGTTCAATGGCCATTACACCAGCATCAGCAAAAAGTTGTTCTGGATAGTTGTAGATTAGTTGCCTGATTAAAAAAGCAGCAGCAAAGTTATTAACTATTCAGATTTTAGATGTCATTATACTCTTAATAAAACTTTACCTGTTTATAAAGCAARTTATATCATGTTTTAGGATCATTTCAACTTTTTCTTTCATCTTTTCCTATTTTCAAAATAACATCAAATATTATTGCATACAATACATATGAATTATGTAAATTGTCATTTTCTTACTCTTTCAGCAACTTCTAATTCAGCAATTTTTGCAGTGGAATCAACTCGAACACGAGAACCAAAGACCTGAAATAACGCAAACAAAAAATGACAGTTTAACCATAAGAAAATGGAGAAAATGTAAGATAAAAAAAAAAGAAAAAAAAACAAATAAAGGGATGAATACATGGAAATAGAATGGATGGATGAAAAAATGGATGAAAGTTTACCTTAATTTTATCAGCATCCATACTMGTATTACCAATCAGTATTTTAGCATTTTCTATTCTCTTGGGTTGATTGACACCAATTTTCTTATCCAATAAAAATCCTGGCAAAGAAAAAAAAATTACTTACTCAGAATTCTCACATGATAATTCCATTGACTTGATGAGTGCAGGGTCCATAGATTTTGCATGGATTTCATCCCCTGGATAAGGGTTTATGGTTGGATAAAGCTGTTCAATCCTTTGAAACCTGATGTTAATAATATCAAAACTGTTCTTAAACAGTCAAATGCCACAAACCTTCATCTAAGAAAGAATCAYCCATTCCACCACCAAGTTTCTTAATAATCTGGATAGCATTAAGGTCCCCACTTTTCTTTAAACGTAATACTGCTTCTACAGCAAGCTTAGCAAAGTGATCTCGATGTTGCACCAGGATCTTAGAGCTGAGTGTTGTTCTGGCAATATTCATGAGATCTTGTCGGAACTTTTCTTCATCATCTGCATGATTGGAGGCAGCAGCTTCAAGAGCTTCCTCTGCTGCCTTAACTGACTTACGCCAGCCTGAAATAATAGTRTGTGGATGGATCTTTTGTGAAACCAACTTTTCTGCTTCCTAAAAATAGAAGTAAATAAATGAACGCACCCCTGGGAGACAATTCTCTGTAAAGGGTAATACATGTACAATGATGATGATGATGAAATATTAACTGCAGATCAGACATCMAACAACAAAATTTGTCTTGATCATTATTGCTGATGGCTTAACACATGACTTTCACATGCAATAAATAGCTTGKATGCATACCTTGAGCAACTCTGCAGCTAGTACTGTTACACTAGTTGTGCCATCGCCAACCTCATCATCCTGCACCTTAGACAACTCTAAACACAAAACAACAATTAGGAAGTGGTCAATAACAATTAACTCAAACTTTACAAAGAGGCAATACAGCAATGGTTTTCTCTTACCTACTAAGACCTTAGCTGCTGGATTGTCTACACCGATGGATTTTAAAATAGTTGCTCCATCATTTGTTACTTGTATATCTGTGTTTTGACCAAATGATTGAAGAATCTTGTCCTGATAACATKAACAGAAACTTTATTACAATCAATAAGCTAAAATTACACTAACTTGTACACAATATTTAGATAGAAAAGGCAATGTTTAAGACACTGATCCTCCATGGAGTGCTCCAGCTGACACATGCAGTTCTCAATCTTTTTGTGGTGAAGTAATCTATCTTTACAACATAGCTTTTTTATTAYAAACACTATTGTAAATATTTCATGGGAAATAGAGCTAGAAAACAAACAGTATAATTTTGTACAATCATTTATATTACTCATAAGATGATAATATTGTTTATGGTTTTTTTTCTTTTTTTAGGTGTCTTACCATTCCCTTTGGTCCTAATGTACTCTTGACAAGATCACCAATAGCAATGGCACCAATAAATGATGACTACAAAAATATGTACAAATATTAAAAAACAATAAATGTGCTTTTGACAGGTTTATATATATCGGAAGGGGTGGGATAGGGGGAGGGGTAACCTCACTCCATCACGCTATGACAATGACATTATAAATCTATACTTGATCATTTAACTGGATAAAGAAGAGCCTCCACTGCCAGAAAATAATATTGATTATCATGAAGCAAGGAGCACAAGAATATGAAGYCAGACAGGGAAGTAAATACAAAATTGATATACAATCTTTGTGAAAAGATTCAATTTAACAGTAGTATATATTTCATTACAAAGGGAACAGACAAAATATTTTAGTTTTTCAGGGCGGGGATACTGAAGGTGGGACCACAAATACACTTTCAAATTCACTGAAACTTTACTGTTTCAGTTCTTTGCTTTAGCCACAACTTGAAAATAAACCAAAACTCTTAGATCGATGTAACTAAACCCCCATTTAATGGATATATCAAATTTTTTTTGACATTTTTGTACAGTTCACCGGCAAGTTGTCAAACCTACCATACGAGCAACCTCGGCTCTTTCCTCCTCTGCGCCCGGATTTAGGATCTGAACTGGATTTAAAGAGACCTAAGAACAGAGGAATGGTATTCTTAGTTATTAATTACAATTGGGTAGCAATCATGATGTCAAAACCTACCATTTTTGTACAACTTTTGAGTTTCGTTTGAAGAAACGGCACGTGTGAAAATCCAAGATGGCGGTGATCAGATTTGCGCATGATCAAGGAACTGATAACAGCTGACAAACAGCTGACATGTATCAAGGGCTCTATTTTAATAAAATGAAAATAAAATATTAGGATTCCTTAGGACTCTGGATGTTTGAAGTACAGTACACTATTAATGTTTTTGATAGGCAGTATTACTCTACATCAAAAAGTGTTATTTTACGTAAACAATCACAAGTAGATTTTTTATATACATTTTATATGAACTCATGACCTTTAAAATTTCAGTAAATTCAAGATTTCCATTAAAGATATTATTTTCGAACAAAATTAATATAATTATAGATCAGAACAAGTTCTCTGTCAGCTGATCTTTTTGTTTCCGACGATACACCGACCATTTTCCGACTATTACCGATTTGACTTCCCGTTCCTGTTCCAATGACGTCAACATCACGAGGATAGAAATGTTGTAACCCACTAACAAGATGGCGTCTGGCAAATCGATGTTTCCTTGATCATTTCACCAATTTGCAGCCCAAAGAAACCGTTTGTCGTTATTCAAGGGGATAAACAGGCGACTGGTATAGGAAGCTAAAGAACTATGGCTGCTYTAGGTCGTAAGAATCAGTTCAAAGTTGTATTATTAGGTGAGGGTTGTGTGGGCAAGACGTCTTTGATGCTTCGATATGTCCAGGACAAGTTTAACGACAAGCACCTTACGACTTTACAGGTAATCTTAAAGTCTTGATATTTTGTGATAATGTATATATAAAGGCTACTTAAACTCCCCTATAATTAGCTGTGGCTGAATTTTGTGTACAAAATAAACTGAAGTGTATCACTTCTTATCATCAATTCAAATTTAAACTAAGTTACTAAGTTTACTATTTTGTTGTACAAGTACAAACTTATTAATTTTTGCAACGCAGACTGATATTAATTATTAAAAAATTGCCGAAGTAATAGTTATTTATACCATTTGATTAATGATTCTATGTTGAGCAACGATTGTTTTATTGTCAATTTCATAATTGTTCACTGTCACGCAATTCACTWGGGTGTATGCGAATAAACATCATATCACGTGCACAATACAGCTCATTTTAGTTAGCGTCTTAAAGTCTATTTAAGATCCAGTGAACAATAATGTGCCCCTGATTTACATATTTATTAGAAATGAATGATAAGTTTTTCATTTCACTATTAGTTAKTGAAAAGTACAACTATCTGAAACTGTACACAGTTGTTTCCCTTTTATAATGATTACAATATTGAACCTTGTATTGAAAGAAGGTGTTTTATTTACACAGGCATCATTTTTGAATAAAAGATTGAATATACAAGGACAAAGAGTAAATTTAGCAATTTGGGTAAGTAATGGACTACTATTATCTAATGAAACAGATGTTTTTCAATATCACTCAGCTTATCAAAGAAATACCTTATACTATCTATCAAAAATACTAATTGATATTGTTGGGAAAGATAATATCTGATGAAAGAGTGATATAACAAAAAGTAGACTATTAATTGTTATTTTTCTAATTAGGACACAGCTGGTCAAGAAKGATTTCATGCTCTTGGCCCAATTTATTATAGAGACAGGTGAGTATGGTCTTATTCACAGGGGAATATTTATMAGGGATTACAGGTTGGCTATGACCCTCCCCTTCCCCCACATTTTTATCTTAGCTAAAAAAGATTTCATTATATTTATCTGTTCCATTGTTATTATTATTTTTAGCAATGGTGCCATATTGGTATATGATATTACAGATGAGGATTCATTTTTTAAGGTAAGATCTGTCCAGCAAGAAGAGCTTTATCCATTTTTATTTCATCCATGTACTGTATTTTATTTTGTTTCTAATAGGTTAAAAACTGGGTGAAAGAGCTCAAGAAAATGTTAGGTGATGATATTTGCTTATGCATAGCAGGTATGGGGCTACTATTATAACTTCTATATATTCTTATAACTTATAACTAGGGACCTACAGTAAGAAAGTGTTGAATGGACAGTTATACTAAAAACTATGTGTTAAAATTTCTAAATGTTAGTGTAGGATTTTTGTTCACAGCTTAAAAGAAAACATGTTTTTGTCAAATTTTCTCATATGTTTATTTATAGTAACATTACCATGAATAATTGTATCTACAGGAAATAAAATAGATTTGGAAAAAGACAGACATGTTGAGGCATCWGAGGCTGAGGCTTATGCTAAGACAGTAGGAGCACAACACTTTCACACTTCAGCAAAACTAAACAAAGGAATAGAAGAAATGTTTTTTGAATTAGCAAAACGTAAGTTTGTCCTTAAAGTGATCACAATAAATTCAGAGACATGGTGGTCTATATTTCATTTGAGAGACTCAATTGTCTAGATATTAATAATATGCTGGTCTAGTCATCAGACTTTGGATCTACCGGCCTTGATTTCATTCAAAGATGTTGTTTCCTTACTCTAAGGCAAAAKGAATAGGAGTATTCACCTTCATTAGAGGACTACATCTATTGACTTTAGTGAAATTACTATGATTACTTATTGTAGAAATGGTTGAACAGCAAGACAAATTGGATTCCAAGAATCCACCAACTTCATCACAAGATAGAGGAGGCAACAGAGGAAGAAAAAATGTTGTAATTGTTGATGAACAGCCACAAAATCAGAAGAGTAGTGGATGCTGTTGATCTATATGAATGTTAATGGTAATGATTTCAATGTATCTTAGTCACAGTAGCACAGGTTCTAATTCATTGGCCTAGGTATGGTCTAAAATACAAGAACAAAATAAAGTAAGGACAGGAGATAAAATTTTAGTGTTAAATAGTATCAAGAGTTTTTCTGTATCKTGAAAAATAACGGAGTTGTTTTTATTCGACTGTGTAAGACTAGTTYGACAGAAATAATAATTGTTGGTATKACACTCTAAAGTTATAGTATTCTTTTGTTTTTTAKCAACATATGCTTGCTAAATAGTCATTTTCATTGCACAGTCTAATGAAAGGCACTCTACTAGGTTACAATAATGTCTTTCATCTACAGTATATTACACAGGATTTGTTAGTTCTGTGCTKTAATAATAGCATGAGGTGCAATGTTGAACATTTTCTAAAACAGGCATTGTAGTTTATCCTTGTCAACACCAGTGATATAGGAAAATAGTTACAAATTATTACAAAAACCTATCTTTATCTAGTCTCATTACACTTCTACACCTCAGTGGTCACTCTATAACAATTCCTGTACTTATATACTTTACACACATATCACTTCATTGAACATTGAATAATAGATTTGTAAGTGGGGCTGTGAGGATAGACTTTAGTCTAATGAAAACTGCTCCAACAGCACTGTTACTCCAAGCAGATAATAATACCCATTCTTTATATAACCAGGCCCAGACTACTTGCCAAAATGTTGTCCACAAGATACATTTAAACAWGTTTTGTGGACAACAGTGCTGTGCATGTACTCAAGCAGACATGGAAAGACTTGCTGTGCCATTAATTTTTTTTGAAATCATAGATTTTAATATTATAACTCTGCCATTGTTAAAATCAATAKAAATTTAATATGGCATTATATATTGTAAACATAGGTACTGTCAGTTGTATTAAATAAAACAAATGTTTGGAAGAAACTGTTGTCATTGAAGTGAATTCACATACTTTATTACATGTACCTATTGTTTGGAAAACGGTCAACCAACAGGAATTGTAGGAGTTAACTATCTATATTTTATTATTAAAGTACATTTGAATGATGGTACCATATGTYGTAAATTCCCACAATTCCTATGGATGACTTCACATTTGAYTCCAGGGACAATGCAGTTTTATGAAAAACTATTCTGAGCTATTTTGGCCTTGTTSGTCCTTGAKAACTTGCTGCASTTGAGTATGCAAACAGCCATGTGGGATMGTGATCATACTGTAGCATAAGAGCATGCTCAGTAGGCATATATGTGTCTGTATCAATCATACACTTATAGTCTTGAAAACATTAAATCCACTTGCAGCTGTGCTTATGACGACACCTGGTAACTGCTGATGCCAGTGTATTTCTTTGACTGATTTTTGGCCCTATAAAATGATTAAAAAGGTTTTTTATAATACAGGATTCTCTACAGGTAAATTCTAATGTGACTTAATGAATACCTTGCGGTCATTATCAAATTTAATTGAAAACAATATTTCCTTCTCTCAGTTAATTGTCTTATGTAATACTCTCCTTTGTGGTTCCCTGAACCATCTCGAAAGATACAGGTCTGGACTCACCATATGAATGAATAGTAATTGTGGCGGTACATCTAGATGACGACCAGGTCCCTCCGCAGTTTCATCCCTTTCAACAGCAAGATCCCATAAGGTGACTTGATTGTCTTCAGATGAGGCAGCAAAAACTGAACTATCTGTCGGATGCCATTCTACTGATGTAATGGGACCTGTATTGTGCTTGAATAATGCTACTGGCTCACCCCTGCAYAGAAAGAAAATTGTCAAAGTTACTTACATGTACTCTTCAAGGAATAAAAGATCAACATACTTTTGAAATTGTCTGAGATCCCAGATTTTAAGAATACCATCATCACCTCCTGACACTATAAAAGGCTCATTCCTGAAAGCAATCAATTAATTTCAGTCAGTCAATCATGACCATTCATGCTCTACAAAGMCAAATCCATTGATTGAACAAACGTAGATGACAGGACTCCTGCCTCATAACAACCCTTCACTTGGATCTGTCAGACAGCTCAATTAGAGAACAAAACAATAAAGTATTGCTTTATTACCACTAATATTATTCATTGATAATCAATAAATTATACCTTGCATTCAATCATTTACCTATTCCAAGAAATAACATTGACATCTGCATCATGAGCTTTGGTTGTCAGCATACAGGCTTTTGAAGGAGCTGCTCTTGCATCCCAAATACGAACTGTTTGATCCACAGAACATGAAGCAAAAACCTGAAGAAGAAAAAGTACAACAATAAGGAAAAATGAATTGTACCCAGAAAAACTTGMTCCCTGTCATCCCCAAGAACCKCAGTGTAATCTTCTGTCATTCATTCCTGGAATGGGCCAACCRTTTTTTAATATTCCCTAATGAGAAATTCATACATTTTTTTCATTTGGGCTCCATTGTAAATCTTCTACAGAGTCTGTATGAGCATTGAATGGTCTCTGATCGACATGCCAACTGCCTCCTTCTTGTGGGGACCAAAGATGGATGTTGTGTTTACAATCTCCTGTTAGTAACCTAAAACAACAAGTTTCAAGTAAACTTAATGAAGCATGAACCATGTGAAACATAAATAATGACTTGGTTTGTATCACATAGTAAATATTTAACACAAACTGGCAAAATATTATAATATGTTATATAATGGACTTGTTTACACTAAGCGTAGCTGTGTTTTTGTTGCTTACATTTATCATGGAATTCTTAGGTAGAATAATATTGTATGACCAAATATCTCTATATTTTTTCAACTATTTCTTTGGCAATGTTTGATTTATTTACCTGCCAGGAACAGTTCTTGACCAATCCATTGAGAAACCTTCTGTCTTGAATATTAAAAGGAAGTTATAAATAAATTATTAGCCAGAGAGTAAAAATATAGTTTCTATCCTTTGTAAAGATAAAACAGTTTTTGGAAAGAGTTCCAGATAATCCAGGAAGTACTTACTAAATGGCCAGCAAAAGTATACAGAGGTGAAARGTCTTTGGCTTGTGTTGTGTTAGTAGGGTTATCCACTGATATAACTTGAGGGGAAACATCCCATATATAAACCTTATTTTTGTCTGACCATGTAGCAACAATATGTCTGTCGGGAATGTGAGCATGCTGGACAGTAAAGAGAGTTATATTAGCCATCTTCAAAGGAACAAGTGAAGGTTTGACAAGTGAACTACAGTCATCCATCATCTCACTTCTCAATGAAAATACACAGATGGGTTTCATAATGGTACACTGAGCWGCAACAGCTAGGCTGCCAACCACTTACTCGAATCCTATTTACTCCACCAMTATGCTTTATCATACTAGTTTCTAAGTCTGGTTCCTCTTCAATGTACTCATCATCTGAATCAGCTAAAAAAGATTCAAACTTTCAAACATAAATTTATAAAACAAAGTTTCAATGTATCTATCATTCATTGTCTTGGATAATTAGGATTTTTAAAAGCATAAACTCATTCAATAGCAAATTATATTCAAATAAAATTTTAAAACAATCACCAGTYTCATCATRTTCTGTTTGGTGCAACTCTGACATTTTCATCACAATGACATGGTTTTGTTGTCCAAGMGGAGCTTGGGTTCCAGCTACAATATATGCRGTCATAGGAAACTAAAACAAACAAAAACATGTTCATCATTACAAATTAAATTGGGAAATCAAATTTGTCTGTTAGATGGATATAAAGTAGCACAACAATCACTATCATTGGGTTATCAATAATCATAAGATGACCTCAATCATTAGTCACTCAATCTCTTCAAGAATACCTCTYTTCTAGATTCTCCAAGGATATCAGGAACAACATCAAAACTAAGYCAAGGTGAACCTGTTTGTGCCTAAAGTAACATACAACATGATCTATTAAAACGTCTACAATGACTCTTATAAAATACACAGGTATCCCATGTAAAAGCAAAAAAAAATCAAATCACTTACTGCATGATACATTTTGTAAGCACTACTGTCATATGTTAACTCTTCATCGTCCTCCATTTTATCACCTGGRAAAAACACCTAATAACACTTTCATTGTTTAGCTGTGTTACATAAAACAGAAGAATAAGAGTGAAGATATTTACAACAAACCTCTTTTTCTTGTGATTCAACTTCTTCATTATCATCGTCATTATCTGCTGAAGTTTCTTTAGCCTTCTTCTTTTTCTTTTTCTTCTTTTTCTTTTTTCCTATTGAAAATGTTCATGCATCAAGTTAATGAAAACAGTTAAATTTGAATTATTCTCGTACTGTCGTGTGAAGGTGTCTAGCGCTCGACGAACGGAACACAATGACACGTATCATGCACGCACGCCACCCTCACCCTACCTTCGCAGTTAAACATTAACTTATGTTAACAAATTAACACCAAAACACCTAATAATATCAAATACTACACCTTTTGATGTTGATGTTTGTTCAGTTTGCTCTTCATTCATTTCTTCTTCATCATTGTCATCCATTTGTTCTACAATTTCTTCTCCAAATTCATCATCACTGTTGTCATAGAGACCCATTTCTTCATCACCTGAAATAAGGTATTTATGTTTGATTGGAACTCACCAAATGCCAATAGGAAAGAMMTCACAATAAAATTAGAGTGTAGGTGATCATTTGRTTCTTTATAAAGCTCTTTGCATGCAAGAATAGTCTTAGCGTGTTGGAACGCCTGTGCACAAACATTGCAATGTACGAGAAAGTATAGATTACGAAAAAATGGTTCAACTGTACACGACAAGTACATTCCTTCGTGGTTACTTATTMTATAGTTGCCAGAGAATGGGATTTTTCACTGCAGATCACTACACTTGGTAAATATTATTAATATCAGCTGAAAATATAAAATCTTTCGTACAATAACAAATCAATTTTTAGCTTATTTATACATCTGAAGTATCAAAAAGACAAACTCTTAGAAAAAAGAACAAACTCGCATACAAACAGCCAGAGAGATTACGGTTTTCACTGACAATTAACGCGTTAAAACCAAAACAACATTTTCAGAAATCTCTTACCTCCGTTCGCCATGTTTGCACGTGCTTTCTTGTTACAATGGGTAGCTCAGCTGACCGAAATTGCATTTATCAGCTGTACAAATTATCACCAAACTACAAAATATAAGATGTAATTCATTCTATATTTCTGATCATTTCTTACACGTTATCGATTTGCATTGCTTGCACTTTTATTTGTCCCATATTTAAGTAAAAATGACAAAATATAAAGTACGATTAGATTGGGATTGCTGTGTAATCGTTTCCAGTCGCTCTCGTCACCAAAAAACAACATGTCGGACACAGAGGAAGTTGAGAAGAACGAAGAGCGAAAAGAACGGAAGCCAGGGATCGTTTATCTRAGTCGATTYCCTCCMTTTATGAAGCCAGCGAAAGTACGCCATATATTCTCTCAATATGGAGAAATAGGGAGACTTTTTCTCCAACCAGAAGGTGCGAATTATATCATTTGATTTTGTACACATCGATGTTTCTATCCACATGCTTTCGATTCTTTGCTGTTTTTATAGATCCGACAGTTAGAAAGAAGAGGAAAAAGTCCGGTGGAAGTGGCAGGAAAACGTTTACAGAAGGATGGGTAGAGTTTAAAGACAAAAAAGTTGCAAAGCGAGTMGCCAGTTCGTTAAACAACACAACTATAGGTATTAAGCACAGCTGTGTTTATTACTATAATATTCCTTTAGTTCTTAATACGATTGGTTTCCAAATTCTTTTAATTTGTAATTTAAGGTGGCAAAAAGAAAAGTTATTATCATGATGATATCTGGAATATCAAGTATTTACCAAGATTTCTATGGGGACAGCTGAGTGAGCAAATAGGTCTGTAAACTTTGCCAGCCATACACAGGCACAGCCAAGCTGAAACAATATGACGTGACACTAACGCATGATTGAAATTAATTATACGTTTTTAACAATTTCAGCCTTTGAAAAAGCATCCAGGGAACAAAGAATGAGAACAGAGATTTCACAAGCCAAAAAGGATGCTAATTATTACATTGAAAGRGTAGAAAAAGGGAAAGGATTTGAAGCAATGGAGGAAAGAAAGAGAAAAAGAAATGAAAAGGTAATTGAACCAGACACATTTAAACTGCATTGTTATGATTTCTTGTGATAATTTCATGAGATTAAAAGCTATATTCCTTTGGCAGGAAATTCAAGAAAAACATATCAGATCATTCAAACAACATAAATCATTAGAAGAAACAAAGAAAACTGAGCCAGAATCAAAGAAAACGAAAAGCAATGAAACAAGTAAACTTAACACAAGTCTACTTAGTAAGGTATTGTTCAAAACATGTTTGTTGATTATGATAAAWTAATTCCGTTACTGTTTAGTTGAGGCATGTTGTTKCCTTCCTCACCCAGGAGGCGCAAATTAGCACAAATGATACTTAGATAAAGTAGATAAAACCTCAAGTGTTTTATTATGATATAATAGTATGTTATCTTATTTTCACAGATATTTACTTCCAAAAGATAACACAGTGCAGTATATTATATACTTTGACACAGTTTAATGTTGTAAATAATTATAATATCATTTCATTATACCGAACGCYATAATTATTAAAAAATACTACACACAATGTGATGATAATCAATTCTTTGTTTTAAATATAGTATATGTAATTTGTAAAAAAAATAAATAAAATCTAATACTTTGAGCATAAAGTTCAAATGTCTTGCTTGGGTTGCCTGTGTTTCTGGTTGCTGGTGCATGTACTGTGCACGTGATAAATGTCGCGATCACTGGTAAGAACGTCATTGACTGCATGTGCGGGAAATGCGCGGGCTTTCTCATTTCGACAAGACACCGCAAAGTGTTTGAAAACTATATAATTTTGAATGAAATAATTTATTTTATTTTAGCATATT